ACCACCACCTGAGGAATAGCATTGCAGGGTCACAGCTTTGAAACACCACTGATTTAATTTATTGTCTGTCTCCTCAGTTTGCCTTCTAAAGCCTCCTGAGGTTAGTTTTGATTGACAGGGTCTGGAATAGCCAAGGCAAAGCGCTTCAATCACACCAACAGTGCTTGTGGAGGATAGGTTGGCTTCTGAGCGTGACTGTGAAGTAGGCACTTGATCTACAGTCAGATGAGGCGGGGAGACCGACTGCACATGAGGGCAGCACCATTCCCCGGGCTTCCCATTCCTGACTGCATTGATGGAGAAAGCCAGAGGAGCAGAAGCTCCCACCTCCTGCTTCCCAGCTGTAGTTGCAATGTGACCGGCTGCCTCAGGCTGTGCCTCTCCGACTTCCCTGGAATTCTGAGCCAAATAAATCTTTCTCCTCTAAATTGCCTTTGTCAGATACTGAATCATAGCTACAGGACTCAGAGTTAAAGGAAAAGCAATTCATAAAACAAGCCAGGAACAGGCAGGGACTAACTACGTCTTTCCTGGCTAGTGTTTATAAAAAAAAATTCCTGGCACACAATATATCTCTGCAAATAATTTTTAATATAGTAACCATAATAAGAGAAAATATTAACTATATTCTTTTGTATAATTATTTCTTTTTTATTACTAAGTTTATGGAACCAAAGCACCATTGGCAAGAAGGGTTATTTTGAAGTACTACCCATGATTCTTCTTTAAGAAGACATCTAAAAAGATGAAAAAACCATGTAATGTCAGGAGGAGGGGAAAAAAAAACTGCTTTTTGTTACAACACAAACACCCGAAAATCCCGATGGCTTAGGATTGTGTTTTCAAAGTCCTTATCTGGAACTGGACAATTTCAAACCACACTGATCTTGGCCTGGTGCACAAACCCCACCATAGAATTCTTATGACTCTTCCAGAAACCAGTCTGCTAAATGACAGTTTCCTCGAGCTGAGGTGTTCTTTGAGTCTGTATCCAAAACGTTTACAATTTTAAAATTCCCACTCTAGCAGCAACTGAAAATTGTGTTATTGTGCCCCCCCACCCCCGACAATGCTGGGAGGGAGAAAAAAAGGAAGCAATTTGTTTGGCTACTAAGCTTTAAAAGGAGGGGGCGGGGTAATCAAGGCTCATAAGTATAAGTCCTTATGTAGCCCCCTCATGAGACGAGGGGAAGGAGGTCAAAGCTCAAAAGAGATATGTCTTATACACAGGAGATATGTCTACTCATGAGAGAAACTGCATCACGTGAAAAAGATTAAGGTCCTCCTCAGTCCCTTCTCATGCACAGGAAGAAGCCAAAGATGTCAAAAGAGGCAGATGGGTTGTGTATGTTTATTAATTTCATATCACAAGAGCTTCATTAAGAAACCTGCCCAAGTCGTCTACAAACAGATGAGAAAGGACTTTGGCAGAGGAGAAAAGGTTGGCTCGTATCGGTATGGACGATGAGAAGATACATTCCCACAGCTATCGTTCAGTTTCTCCATGTCCATCATCCCATGTGGGACCTTTCATGGCCCAGAGTCACAGCTGCATTAAAGTTTTGGGGACAGCAGGCCAACACTGGGTCACCGGCTCTTTTCAAGAGTCCCTTGTTTATATTACTATTTGTTTATATTACTATTTTATATTACTGCTTGTTTATATTACTATTTGTGTTCCTGTAGGGTGGTTGACTCAGAAACACCAACCATCAAAAACAAAAACAAACAAACAAAAAAACCCATTAAGTTAGTCTGCCTCAACTGTCGAACAAAATATGCAGGGACTGTAAAACAGAGCAGAGATTTGCTTCGACCTTCACCGTCCTATCTAGCAGATGAAAGTGATCCTCATAAACAAGCTCAAGGAGGGAGGGGACATCATAAGGCTAAATGGAGAGCTGGGGCTATCATGAGCAGACACCCCAAACAGATCCAATGGCTCAGCCATCTTTATTAGCCTTTTATCTAATTCAAAGACACTCAGCTGCATCCTCACCTCCTAAAGCAGGTCACCTTTGTCATGCATTATGACATTCCTCTGGGGCTAAAGAGAGAAAAAAAAAGTTGAATTTCTCCTAGTTTTGGACTGTTTGATGACCAAGCGCTAACCGGAAAACCCAGACCCCGTCACTGAGTGATGAGATTTCTTGATACCAAAGCCGGGGAGAAAGGAGCAGGCAGCTCCAGCCGCCAAAGGGGAGCAAAGGCTTTAGCTCCCTGGGCTCTGGTACTTAAACACATCTCGCTGTTTATTAGCTATGAGTCGGATGAGGCATGCGATTCGCTCACAGAAAGCAGATGACAGGAAAGTTATTGGCTGTTAGAGGAGTAGGAGAAAGCCTAGAGATAAGCTGCTGGTAGAACTGGCCTTCAGAGATAACCGATGAGGGGCCAGAGAACCCTCTTCTGTGAGCACTTACTACTTCCTAGCCTGGGTGCTCACACAGCCTGGATCCCAGCAGGACAGAATAAATTCAGTCATCACCTTGACATCAACTCTCATTACAACATGCCAGGATCCAAAAAAAAAAAATGATAAGAAGCAATAACAATAAAAAGAAAAAAGAGCGCGGGGTGGGGGTGGGGGGGGCACAGACCCTAAGACAGGCTTCCCTGGATTAATTCAAACTGTTAATAGGCACCTTGTCATTTATTTTTCTCTGTTGAAGGTGCATATCAGAAAAACAAAAAGTCGAGGGGAGCTGGAGAGGCTCTTGGCTTAGGTGAATCCACCTAAATTTAAGGTGGAGAGACAAAAGGGCAGAGTACAGAAAAGATTTTCATAAGCAGTGTTTACTGAACATCCAGAACATTACAGGGCTCTCAAAGAGAAAACATTCTCCGGGCAAATGCCCAAAAGATTTGAAAACAGAAGAGGAGATGGGTGCAGGCCGGTGTCTGCATTGTGGGTTTCTCACAGAGAGACAAACACTGGTGCAGATTAATCAATCCCTGGTTTTCTTGAAGCATACCTGTGCTGTGACTGGGCTCCCAGAGCTCCCCACAGCACCACCTACTGGTCCTGGGCAGTACCTACAGCAGCGCCACTTCTGAGAGGACCGCAAGACTTGAAAACATTGAAAAATGAAAAAGACTGCCACTTCAAAGTCAATGATGGAGCCAGAGGGTGGACTGATAGCTAGCTGACGAACACATCAGCTATCCAAGTTGTAAGCACCATCTTCTGGTTACTGCGAACGGCAAGTGGGCAGTTTTATTTTTCTCAACTGTTTAGGCTTTAGATCTTGATCCTAAGGTCTTCTTAAAGCTAGAGTCAAGACATTCTCCGAGAAGGTGGTCACACAGCGAATACATTCATCTTTCATTAATGATAGGAACGAAGAGGGTTAACTAACACAATGACAACGTGGGTATTTTAACTAGAAATTGAAATCACCATGCTATACCTTGAGAAGGGGTGATCTGGGGATGAGGTTCAAAACAGAGGTTTTCCCTTCCGTGTAAGCCCTTCACAGACCACGAGGCTCCTTAGAGACAACCAGTTCTCATCATGAAACCCACTAGGCCGTGACTGGATTCAGTTTCAGAGACCCAACCAGTAACAAATCCTCTCTTCCCAGACACTGAGGAGACACAGCCAGGAGCTTGTCAGTCTGCTACAAACAACCCAATCTCAATTCTGATCTAAAATTAAATCACAGACTCAAAATAGAGCATGTTGTAAAAGATCTGGGGTGGAAACAAACAAAAGAAACATTTTTTTTTCTGAACACCAAGAACATGAATTGAAAATAAAAACAAAAATAAATATAGCTGGTATTTTCCTAGCTCTGCTTCCACGGCCTATATTAAGGCCTTTGCAGATTTTCGGGCTCAAGAAGCAATGCCATCCCTGTGTTTAATTCATGATTTTAAGGTGAACGATCCAAGAACTGTTACAGATTAAATGTAATGGAGCAGATCAATGGCGTGTTACCATCAGCCTACCCTTATCTTTAAATAGCGATGCGTAATAAATGCCTCATTTGAATGAGCAGGTCTCAATAGCACAAAATGAACACAAACAATAACAACAGCAACTACCCAGTACGGTCACATGACTTAGCATGGTGGGTGCTAAATAACTCTTTAGCACCAACAGAGGAAATGAAAATGGAAGTCGTATTATTCATACTGAAAAAATGCTGATTCGGCTATCATACTCTTCTCTGTAAAAATAGACTCGGCGGTCCTCGCAAGCCAGCCAGGCACTGTTGTCACAGATGTGCGCCAGATTTGCACAGGACATAACTTGGCTGTGGGGAAACCCGGAGTTTGTCTGAATCTTAGGCAGGAAAGAACGCCTGGTCTTTCTTGGAGAGAGGGTGGCGTTCAATAAATCCGAATAGCAGCTTGAAAGGGTTAAAAAAAAAAAAGGCTGGCGTCAGGTGGTTTTATTCCCACTTTGGGAAGTAATAAAGCAAAGTTATCTCCTCTTCCTTCTCCACTAGCCAGGATGCAGAGACTGGCCACTGCCGCTTACACCGTCAGGCTCTAACAAAAGGAGGGCAGCGCAGACACCCAGCAGCCCACAGCCTGGCATTGTCGCCAAGTACTGAGTGGCGCTAGGTGACAGGGGCACGAGTGAGCCAGGACCAATTTTATCTATTCCCAACCTGCATGCTTTCAAAGAAAGAAGAGGCAACCGAGCTGTGGGAGGACTGAAGGGTGTGTGTGGTGTGCTTGGGGAGGTGGGGGGGGGGTGCAAACAAACTTTGAAAGCCCTGGGATCTGCATTCCCGCAGGAACTAGAAGCCCACTGGCGCGCCCACGGGATGCCCAGCGTGGGGACGCAGCACGGAGAGGGGCAGGGGCCGCCGCCTCCTCACCCACCCTCTCCTCAGCAGCTAGCGTTCCTTCCCAGCCCCGGCCTCGCCGCCAGCCCGGGGCTCGCAGCCGGGCGCAAGGCGGACAACGGGGCCGGGATTCTAGACGCCCTGGCCCGGTCGGAGCAGGACCCTGAGCCGAACTCTCCAGCCGCCAGCGCCCCAACTTACCTTCGCCGCGCTCCCGCCCCTGCAAGGCGGCCAGGCCCGGCACCAGGCTCCGGAGACCGCGAGGAGGAGCTTGGGCCCCGCGGGGCACTGCAGGCCGACGTGAAGCGGCCGCCGAGTCCTCACCGCCGGATCCGAGTGGACCCCAGGGGCCGAACGGGCCTAGACCGCGCGGCAACGGAGGGCTGGGCTGACCGCCGCCGCGTTTGCACCTCAGCACAGAGGGGCGGGCTCAGGCAGGCTCCGCCGGAGAGCTGGGGAGGGAACTTGGAGCCCGTCGCAGCGGCCCAGAGCTCCTGTCCCCACGCAGCCGGCACGCCCCCAGGAGCGCCCCGCCCCCAGCCCACCTTCCCGCCCCACCCCCTCCACAGCCTGCTCTCCTCCCCGCCCCCCCTACATGTACCCCGCCCACATGTACCCCGCCCTGCTCCCATCAGTCCCACGCCCACCCTGTGCCCCACTGCTGCCACCCCTGAGAAGCTACCAGGGATGTGACTCTCCCACGCCAGGACAGTACAGACCAGTCTGTGCTTGGTACCCAGAACCTGTATGCAGATGCGATGAGCCCACCTGATAGGGCCTTCTTGAAGATCTTGGCGCCCATCTGACTCCACGTGGTTGGTAGCAGGGTGTTCACCATGGGCAGGAAGCATTCAGTAAGAGTAAGCACAGTCTGAGCTTAGCTAATAGGAAATCTAAAAGTTAAAATCCATGCTTATCCAAATGACCGAATTTAAAGGAGTTTGCGGGGTCAAAATATATTTCTCTCAAAAATATTAAGCACTCGGGAGGCAGAGGCAGGCGGATCTCTGTGAGTTCGAGGCCAGCCTGGTCTACAAGAGCTAGTTCCAGGACAGGCACCAAAAACTTCAGAGAAACCCTGTCTCGAAAATCTAAAAAAAAATTAAGCAAAATGTCTCAGTTTTTAACCCTTAGTACTTTGAAGTGTGATGACATTTGTATGGTTTTTCCCGGAAAGATCATTTATACGTGTTTAAATCATTCAGCTCTTAATTCCTTCTAGTTCAGAAATTATAAACTAAAAGTCAGATTTCCATAATAAATTTCTGCCTATTTACAAGAGTATTGTGTTAATAAGTGACATAACGCTAGGCTTTGAGTGGAACTTTGGCATGCAAATGAGTTCCTTGTCAGCAAATTACACTGTAGCCTCCACTCCTGCTCCAACCCCAGTGACAGCTATTTTTCATCATTACCATAGCAAATGCAGGCAGGCAGTTTCTGGCCAGAGCAGACCCTCCCAGCCACCCCCAACACACACACACACACACACACACACACACACACACACACACACACAATTTTGCTTATTCTTTCCTGGCATTTATTTGCTCCTTGCCTCAACCCATTGTGTATAAGACACAAACCTCCATTTCAGGTGCCCAGGATAGCCAAGGAAAGTGTATCCTGTTCCCCGGACATGGAGATGGGAGGCCGGAGGACATCATCTTCTCGGGAAGAATCATGGCTCTTTCTCCTAACTGTGTCAGGTAAGCCTGCAGCAGCTGAGTGTATCCCACCAAAGAACAAAGCCAAGTCAGAAGAAAACCTTAAGCAAGAAAGCCAGAGAAATCCACATAGCAACCAAATTCGCAAAGCCCTATCTGAAGGTATAGACATCTGGACAGGTGTCTAAGGATGTGCACCGTGAATTGCCTTTCTTGCTCAGGAAGTGTTGCCATAGGCTCCTTGTCAAAATGTTGACTTACAAAATCTTAAAAGATTAGTGGTGGTGGCCCACGCCTTTAATCCGGGAGGCAGAGGCAGGAGGATCCCTGTGAGTTCGATGCCAACCTGGTCTACAAGAGCTAGTTCCAGGACAGGCTTGATAGCTACAGCAAAATCCTGTCTCTAAAAAACCAAAACCAAACAAACAAAACAACAACAACAAAAAAGATTATCCTGTGCTTTGGAAATCAGAAACATAACTAGTGACTTACAGCTTTGGTGTTGCCCAAATCAAAGTATTTCTTGATAATAAAGTATAGGCCTAAAAGTCACTTAAACACACGCCCGGGGTTAAATAGGATTAAGGTTCTCATTGATGGTCATCTTACTTTCAGTGTAGAATTAATGCACCCATATTGTTCTTACCGTAATGCGAACCCAAAAAGACGTGTGGCCAGAGAACAAGAGGCAAGCAAAAATGTCATAACCAGAACCTCCTAGTAAGTTTCCTGTCTTCTCAGTTAGCACAATAAGATGTACGTTTACTAGTTCCCACTGTCTACTCAGCCAGGATTTGTCTTTTCCAGACCAGATCTGCGGGGCTACTCTGTTCTTCTGGGGACTGACAAGGCTAATCTTTGAGTGAGGAATGTTCCTGTGCCCAAGTATGGTCCCAGGGAAGTGGGCCATGGGCCTCTGTGTGGGATTCATTTGCCTCACAAAGGTTTTTGTCTCTGAAAGTACTCAGACAAGCATTTTCAGAGGCAGTTCTCAGCAGCAGCCGCAGCCTGATTGCTGGATTTATTTCGTGTGGGAGAATAATACGACATCTAAAAGGAGAGATCAGGGCCCTCGTTGTTTCTCTGCGTCAGTGAGAACGTGGTCTTTCAATCACCAGTGAAATTTTAAAAATATAAAGGCCCATGAGCTGAAAACCAATGTACTGTAAACAGATGTGCCTCGCACAGGAGAGGCATGGAAGAAATCATGACTCAGCAGCTTACAGGCAACCAAAAGGAGCCAGGGTGTGCAAGACCAGTCCAGGAGTATCTGGGCGAGTGTTTATGATTCTCCAAGGAGAACCTCAACCAAACAAGTAGAGTTCTCCAACACCATTGACAGGGCCCAGTAAGTTCTAAGTAGGATGGGCTCAGGCAAGCTCTGTTTGTCCAGAACTTCCCCTAGGAGCACAGTATCGCAGAATGGTTTCTGTCTGGTTTCGAAATTACCTGAACCAGGAGAAGACAAGCATGATGCAAAAGCTTATTTTTGACTTCTCTCAAGGGTATGTGATTGTTGTTTGAGGTTAACTTGTGCTCTCCCTTCTATGGAAAAGCCTCAGCCCTCAGACCAGACTCCTCTAACCTTGGATTGTATGTAAAATTAAAGCTATCGGTTGCATGAACCCCATTTGTCTTTTCTCTTCAACAGTTATTTTGAAGTTATAGAAAAAACAGGAGGAGAGGAATGCATTTCAGGAGTAGGGGGATGGGTTAGAAGCCATACCCCAAGAGAGAAAGGCCAGCGGCCAACAAGCAGAGATGGGAAGACTGTGTCGGTGGTCAGTTCACCGTTGGTCACGGCCCCGGGGTTTATCCAGTGCTTCGGCCTCACAGTTTACTTTGCACTCCTGCAGATGCTCAGGATGGAGATGGGTGTGTGCAGACAGCATCCAGGACCAAGCTTAGCTCTAATAGCTGCTGTCTCCTAAGTACTTAGTCTCTTAGGCAAGCCACACGCTTTGTTTTTAGTTGACACAGGCCACTAAACATAAATATTATGATGTCCATTTTGTGAAGACATTCAGGCCAAGGAATGGTGAGTGACATATCTAAGGTTAGAGTTATTTAGAAGATTTATGGGCTGACCCATGTGACCCATAGTCCCATATATCTTTTACTCTAAACCAAACTTGCTCATGAATCCCACAAATCATCTCTCCAGCGAGGCAGTCTAACCACAAGAGACCACTGGCACATACATGAGTTAAGTTTCAACACATCTAAATCCCTTGAGTTTAATTTTGATTCACTCAATTGGACTTTTGATTTTAAATGTCGATGATTTGAACTTTTTCTTAGCCACAGTGGCTATTTTTTTCAAGTGTTCAGTAACCACATGTGGCTGATGGCTGCCCCACTGACTGGCCCAAATTAAGTAAAAAGCATTTCCATTGTCAACGTTTTGCTGAACAGGACGGCCCTTCAGACATTTGTCTGTGTCATCAGGTAAGGCCGGGTTCCCCGTGGTTCAATTTCCTGAGTACGCTTTTCTAGCTCACATATGCTAGGTGTTATAGGATTTGGTCCTAAGGGTGCAATCCTTTTCTGTGCCCGCCTTCGTGAGCATAGCATGCTGTACTGAGGACATGGGAAGGCACAGAGGGTGAGAAGTGACTCTCCAGGGACACACGCAGCACACCATGAGGCCCTGTGCTTACAGATCCTCCCTCTGGCATCTCCACATTGCATCTTCTTGAAAATACCTGCCCGACACTGGGAAAACCATGGTCCTCTTTAGCCTTTTGCCCCAAGTCTGATTCCATGTTTTCATATGCTCTCCCTATGGATTTTTCTTTCTAATTTCATGTCTCAAAACACAGCTGGGTCTTGGTGTCCACTGGATCCATGACCTCCATAGACAGGAAGTCCATTAGGTGATCAAGTTTGTTATACATCATATACTGTAGTACTTACATATCATCAATGCATAGCCTCTTGTAAATGGGAACTCATCTCTGAGCTATTTGTAATACCTAGTGCTTGTCCCCTATGGTGTAAGTACTCTTCTCTGTGTCATTTGTATCCCTTTGTTAATAGCTGTTATGATACATTGTTTAAGGAAAGATGGGAAGGAGAACGTGTGCAAATACACTGTTTTCTGGATATTTGTGGTTCATGGATGGTTTAATCCCAGAATGCAGAATCCATGGGTATTTGGGCAAAATGTACCACTGACTTGGGACTTAGGAATTTTAATATCCAATTTCCCTCAGAGCAATGCATGCCCTGAGCTTTCTCCTAGAAGAGTCTACTCAAATAGCAGCGGCGAGCCATTTGTAACTGATTTAAACATACACTCAAAAAATGACTTTTTTATAGCAACTTCTTATCACCTGACATTGCACTATAATGTATGTACATAAAATGGTTAATAAATTACAAGGGATTTGAAATTGAACACAGCTGTGCATGGTGGTGCAGGCTTGCAGTCCTAGATACCTCGGCAGCTAAAGCACTTAGTCAAAGTACGTATATAAGCAAGTTTAAGGCCAGCCTAAGTAATTCAGTGATAACCTGTCTCAAAATAAAAACTAAAAAGAGGGGTCGAGTGTTGTGGAATAATCCTTTGTACACTGTGAATATGTATTATTCTCATTGGTTAATGAAGAACTGACTGGTAGGTAGCTAGGCAGGAAGTATAGGCAGAGCCAGGTGCTGCATGAGCCAATGAGGCAAGCCAATTAAAGAGCAACAGGAGGAATATGCAGACGGCGTCTATCTAGCCTCTCAACCATGCATACTAAGATGCTGGATCTTTCCTTCTGCATGAGAGCATCTCCTATGGGCCATGTTTATGTGCACGTAGACATTGACTGCTCC